GATCAGTTAATAAGTTGTCTGGTAATGGGTTACTTGATGACGCATCTGGGGGTACCTTATGGCGATTTACATTATGTTGAGGCACCCCAGATGACGTCATAAAGTTATGAGGCCAGGCAACTTACCTCTCTCAAACATTCTTGGTCAAAATGAAGCTCCATGTCTGTCGCATCATATACCTAATATCAAGTATGAACTTATTTTCTATTTACAAGGATTTTTTTCGGTTAACCGGTTTATTTTACTTCGGTTAATCGGGTCGATTATTTTTTAGCAAACCGGTTAACCGGTAAAAGGTTATTTTTCGCCGGTTGAACATCCCTAGACTTAACTAATGTTCTTTTAATTATAGAAACTTCAGCACAGCATATGTATCGAAAGTGATGGCTTTAAATTCACCATAATTCACCATTAATTTTTCCTTCGAATTTAAATCCTCTATAATGACTGCCCAATGATTTTATGTAAATAACCCTGGGGGCTTCGTCGTTACTAACCAGCATTGGCAATTGGCACCTTCATACTGATTAGTTCCCATTTCCCTGTCTGTTATTTGGGCTGACGTCTCTAGATTTCGAAAAGCGTTGGAAACGATCCCTAGATGGAGAGGACATCCAAGCTTATGGCACCGGTGGCATTCTAATCGGTTTCTCGGTGTTGGTGTTTGTCTGGAGTCGTTTCCCATTTTTCTGCCTTCTAGTAATAGTTTATTTTTTTCCTCTATAAAATTACTCATAACATTCTCGAAACCACCATCCTCTTTTTGACGATTGTTTATCCTTTGGGTCTTCAATGGATACTGCTGGTATTCTGGGTCGTGACGCACCAAAGATTGCTTCCATTTCCAATGCTCGGACAAGGGCTCCGCTACTTTGTCTGAACTTAGACATTCTTAGGTTTTCCTGGATCTTGGAATCTCTGAGACCATCAATGAACGCAGATACTGCCATTCATTCTTGCATGCCTTCCTCAGCTGCAGGAAATGCCAAACTCACTAGCCGTTTAACTTCCTAGTCGAATTCTTGTGAACGCTCGCCGGGTGTTTGAATTCTTGATTTAACTTGAGTTCTAGATACTTCTTCTCTGTAATGGTTTTCGAAGCGGAATTCTAACGTTTGACTTAGATGCTGGTAATTCTGTTGGTAGATTGAAGGCATGGACTGAAGGCCTGTAGCGCCACTATCAGTGCTGTTGCTTTTTGTTGCTTGATCGTTTCATCCGTTGGTATTTGCAGCAGCGGCAAATTGTCGGATATACATGGTCCAGGGCGTAGAACCCTCAAAAGTTGGTGGTTTTATCTTCATACCAGAGAATACTCCAACGCTAACTGGATTGATGGAGTGTATTTGTAATTTATTCACCTTTTCTTCAAGTGCTTGAACTTGGTCTTCAACTTTTGTCTTATTTGCTGAACATCGTTTTCATCTTCTTGAACATTGTCTCTAACTTCTTGAACATCTTCTTCAACTTCTTGAACATCTTTAACTTCGGCTTCAACTTCCTCAATCTTTTGTTCCAGGTTAACGACAGATCGTTGTATGGTTTGTAAATTTTCTGCAGTTGTCCAATGTCTTCTTGCCGTTCTTGTTGCCGTCTAATTTCTTCTTCTTGTTTTTCTTTTTATCGCCTGGCCTCTTGAAGTTCCGCGCAGAAATTCAACTTTTTGTTCTTCCATTTTTGCTTGTTGCCGCGTAATAGGCATAAGCAGGATGTTCTGGACAGCGCTGCCACCTCTACCGATTTATAGGTAGATCTACCGACTTTCAAATGAGTCTCCCGATTTTTCTGCAATTTGATGGTAATGAAACAAATATGTAGATATATATTTTATTTAAAATGAAAAATAAAATTGTTTCTCATTCCGCAAGAAAATCTGGTATACTCGAGGATCAAGAACACTTAACTTCTTCTGTGAGAACAGACCGAAAATCACCTTTTCTACATTTAAAATCGACAAAAAAATTAACTCACTAGCACAGCCTGAATCCTAAGCATTCCATCGCGGTCTGTGGGTGACGTCATCACTGTAAGCTGCTGGTAGTGACGTCACTCGCAGGCCCAGAATAGATGGTAAAGGAGTAAGAGGAGTATGACACAATTGGCACATAATATCTGAGCATAATCAGATTATGTTTGATTATGCTCGCAAAAAATTGCCTAATATATGGTAGCGGGTGAGTGATGGCCTCAATGGTGATGACCTACATTGAAATCTTGAAATTTTTACATTGCTACACAATAATTTAAGGTTCAACTATGATTCCCTGATTTACCTACGGAGAAATAGGAATCTCATTGCACAATAAAATTATGACTAAATTTATTGACCGGTTTTATAAACCTAAGAAATTGTGGCGGAATGACATCATATGACGCAACCGCCTAGCTACCGATTTTTATACGAAAACTACCGATTATTTCTCCAAGAATCTACCGACTTCATTCCGTCAGAAGTGGCAGCACTGGTTCTGGAATTTCCCTCAAACTCTCTTCAAATATATCTTCCCTGGTCTTTGATTGAAGTTCCAAACACGTCGGTGAAGTCACCAATTGGATAACTTGCTTTATTCTCGAATAGAATTTTCATGAAATGTCTTTTTCCGCAGCCGTGCGGAAAAATCGATTTTCCGCACTGATATGCGTGCGGAAAATGAGTTTTCCCGCACGGTGGGGTAAAACTTTTACCGCACGCATATCACTGCGGAAAAAGTTTTTCCGCACGGCTGTCAGTGCGGAAAAAATTTTACCGCACTGATCTGTCAAAAAAAAAAAAAGAAAAATTTTACATTTTTACGCCTGTAGGAAAAATATTGTACCTAACTCTTGCGGAAAAATTCATTTTCCGCACTTGTTAGGTAAATAGCTATTCTGAATGTCGACTGATATAGCAAATACGTTGGTGAAGTCACAATTTCAATATCCCCCTTGGTTTCCAAATAGAATGTTCAAGAATTTTCCCGAAATTCCCCGAAATTCTTTTTCTGAATGACGATTGATGTATTGAATACATCGGCAAAGTCAGAAATTCGATATCTTCCTTGGTTTCCAAATAGAATTTTCTAGAGCTTAGTTGAAAATTCACTATCACAACCAAAATCTGGTATACAGACTATACAGTCACTTTCGGGGGAATTTACAGTGTCCGCGCACTATTCTGCAATCGGATTTCACTACGGTTTGATTGGCTAAACTTGTGCGAAAATTTGGGGTCAATATTCTACTAACAGTTGTGCAACGGAACAGACTAACGCATGCGCAGTGTCTTATCTTTCGAACGACTGTTCGATAATTTTGAAAAATCTTTCATTTCCATTGACAATATAATATTTTGCGCACGCACAGTACATGTATCTACTGCGCACGCTCACACCTGTCCCAGTTGTTTACATTTGACCTCGTAAATTAGCAGCATTAGAAGTGTCCATTTATTTTTGAGATCAGTGCACCAGTGTCACGGCTCTGGCTAGCGTGACAGAAATGTTGGGTCCGTTTATTCCAGTCCAATTAACACAGCAATAAATTATTCCACGATACTATACACTCTGACACTAATTACTTCATTAATAGGGAACTTGACAAAAAATTTAAACATGAAAATAGGTATTACTATAAATCATAAGAATATATTATGTTAAAACATATATCAGTGAAAAAAGCTAATTTTTTTTGTCGCAAACAGCCGCAATAAGGAATTAGAAATGCGGAAAAGTTCAAATTATTTCCAGCGGGAAAAAACGCGCTGGTATTTTTCGTGACGTCATCTAGTACTCTAGTACTCTAGTAGGATAGAAAAACAAAACAGCAGCTCCGAGCGTTTACTCGAACTCTACATAATAAATACCGGTTAGCTGTGTTTATCTACGTTTTTCTCTAATTTTTTAAAATTTTATCATTTATTAGAATTGGTTTACTTAGCTTGAATTTGATGATTAGCTCAGCATTAAGTAAATAAAACGATATACCTATTAATTATGAACGAAGAAGGAAATTCCAAAGGCGAATCCGACAATCTGTAATTTGTGATATATGTTTATAGCAAAAGTAAGTATATGTGCGAATCTTTTTTTCCATTATAAGTTCAAAATGTACAACTCGCCGCAATACAAAACAACAACAAAACAAATAACGGTGGAAAATGTGGAAATCAACCAAATTAAATACAATGAAGTATGCCGTTTGGCGACAAGGTGATGCAATACCATACTACGTGACGTCATCCAGATTCGCGCGCATTTAAGGTCTTTTGAAATGCTTTTAACACGCGCGAAACTTTAAACATTTTTCACCAAGTTATTATTGAGTTTTAGGAAATAGAATATTTGGGAAATACTCGTCCAAGGCATAAATAGATGATTTAATAAAATTAAAATAAAAATTGTAAAGTTCCCTATTAACTCAAACAACTTAACTCTTTACAACTCTTAACAATATTCACTATCTTAATCGTATAACAGTCAAACTTAAACTTAAACTACAAACTAATACCGGCCTTTATATATACGCAAATCTATTTGTATAAAATCTAGAATAATCGCGATTACTCTACTTCTCGACCGCATCGCAAAAATCTAGAAGCTAGGTTAGATTCTTGACCCACTGGCGGATGTGCCTTTACATTGTTACACTAAAAATAGTGTGTAGTGTATACCATGACCGCCAAACTTTTTAGCGTCCTTGAGATTTTCTTGCCTCAGCCGCAAGCGGCCGATACGATAAATTTTCTCTATGTACGCTAAAAAGGCATTTCGCGGCCTTGGTATACAAATAACTATTAAATCTCACACACAGATAGTGACAGCTCTGCCAACTTTAAACAAAAGTTTTCCGATCATTGAAAAATAACCACCTTCCAACAAACTCTCTATGCAACAAACTAAGGAACAAACCCATCCGTTCTTGCCGCAAATATCTGTGATTTGTTTTTAACGAAAAAATTGTTATGTTCCATCTGCAGTAATACTAGTTCAATAATTTTTGAATGTATGAAAAAATTGTTTCAGGTGACGCTGGACAAAATAAAACCACAAAAAGACCAGGTAGTGCTGACCAAACCGGTCTTATTAAAAAAAACAAGAAGGAAGATGAGAGATGAACTGTGGCTTTCTAAGCTAAAGCTGCAAGAAATTTCTATGTTTTAATTGTTTTTCATTATTGACTTCTTCAGGCAGGTATTTATTCCCATACTTTTCGTCATTCATATTTTGTATCAACACCAACCAAACTCTTGTAAATTTCTTAAATAAGGTTTGAAAGGGAACAAAAAGAGGTTGGTTAAGATTATGGTTATAAAATTGTGGAAATTTGTTTCCTTTCCAAATGTGTAATGGATTTCTTTCAAGTATCCTAAATCGATATTCCCTAAATAATGTCAATATTTTCTAATTATTACATATTGAATAATAGATTAAGTTTTATGATGATTTTTGCGTAGGACATTGATAAACACCAACTAGATAGATAATATTGCATGACTGAGACTGAAACGCAGTAAGCGAAATTGCATTCAGGAAACTTATCAGTTTTCAAACCGCTTTCTATTGTAAAACAATAATAATTGATAATACTAGCTTGCATCCCTACGTTTCAGTCCTATTAGTGTTATTTCTTTCAATAGATGATTTACAACGATACCTACCACTTTATGTCCTAAAGAAGTCAATACGGATTTGCAAAACTTATCGCTTTAAGCGAAATAACATCGTTTCTTATGTTTAAATTAGGTTTTAAGAATTTAAATCTGTTTGTCTAACATTTATGTATAAGAGGATTAAGATGAGCTGCATGTTTATATTTATATACATAGTAATAATTATCGGTCCTATTAACTACAATTATGTATTTATTTTCGCTTCATTTATGTATAATAATACTCGTAAAATGTTTGATCTATTTCTGTAAGTTATATTTTGGAGTTTATACTCTATTTATTTTTTTCTGTGTTCGCCTGCATGATCTCACCTAGGAATAAGTGCAAAGAAGTGTTTGCAGATTTTGTTTTTACCAAAGAAATCATGGCAATTAATATTTTTGTTATATTTCTATACACATAGCTAGGTACTTACTTACCTAATATATAATATAATATTATACCTACCAAAAAGTTATTGAGATAACTCTAAATATTGTTTAGAATCTTTCATTTATTATTAGTCTATTTTATTTTGTATTCTATTTCTAGTTTTTATCTTTCATTTTGTATTTTGTATTTGCATATAGGAACGGTTTTTTCGATTAAATATTGTAATTAATTTCAAGCGATCTATAAACTAAACAATTGTCACCATTCGCCACGGTGATTAATTTTGGCCTAAGCGCATAAAAATCAACATAATAGGAACAGATAAAGATATGTTGACGCGCGACGCAATATAATAATAATAATTTATTCAATACTCAGGTACAATAATTAGGTACAAATGACTTGGAACTGCACAATGGATTATAAAATCTGTGTGTGCAGATGTTAATACTTATTGCCGTAACTTAAATATATATAATAATATCACTGGTAAGGTTAATAATTATCTAATAACATGGAATTAATTTAACAGATTTGATAAAATTTAACAAAATTCAACAAAATTAAATAAAAATAGATTAAAGTTAAATCTAATTAAAACCATCAATAGTTACTCCACTATCCACTATCCATTTCCTAATCCTATACCTAACCTGACAGTACTTCCTTGTTCTCAAGCAAGGAGGTAAAATATTATAAAGTTTTGGACCAGTAAAGTAAAGGTGTCTCTGTATGGCTGAAGTGGTCACAGATGGTATAATCACATTCTGACGAATTGCATTTCTAGTATTGAGTTGATGGGTAATCTCCTGTTTATAATAATTTGTTTTTAGCATAAATTGAATTGCCGCTAGCATATATAGTTGGTTTAAAGTCAGTAGTTTGCACTCATGGAATAATAAATCGGAGGGATATCTTCTATTTTTAAAATACATTATTTTAATTACATATTTTTGAGCTACATTTAGGGCTGATATAATATTCTTTCGGGCATTTCCCCAGACAACAATACCATAATTTAAAATTGATTCAATTAACGACACGTATATGGTTTTAAGAGTTTTAAATGGTAATATGTTTCGTAGCTCGTAGAATTTATAAATCAGCTTTCTTAATTTAGAAGTTACGTATTCTATGTGTGTTTTCCAAGTTAATTTTTCATCCATGAATACCCCCAGATACTTCAGACTGTCTTTTCTTTTGATTGTGGACTGACATGTGCAGCTTAAGGCTTGCATGTCACAAACAGAATCATGAACCTTGAGTTCTTGAACTTCCGGAAGGGTTGCCTGAGTTAGAGCGAAGGTCATGAAGTGAGTTTTATCAATGTTAAGTGATAACAAGCTAAAATCTAACCATCTTTTTATGTTTGTTATTGCTAGTTCCGCTTTCCTAATAGTTGATTGCCATGTATTCCCTTTCACTATAATAACACTATCATCTGCAAAACAGAAAACCCCTCCCTCAGTTAATACAGAAAAAATACCATTTATATATATGCTAAATAACAAAGGCCCCAGCACAGTTCCCTGCGGTACACCAACTCCCATCTTTACAGAATCACTTCTTACATTCCCAATTTTAACTTTTTGGGTTCTATCAATTAAGTATGTCTTAAATAGATCATTAGCTAAGCCTCTTATACCCATATCATGTAATCTGTTTAATAGAACTTCGTGCGCCACCGTGTCGAAGGCCTTTGCCAAGTCCAGAAATATGACAGCAACCCTTTCCCTGTTATCCAAACCCTTTATAATCTGTTCTGTCACTTTGCACAATGCATTCTCTGTGCTGATGTTATTTTTAAAAGCAAACTGGTTCTGTGATAATAGATTATGTTTATTTAAGAATTGTTTAATGCATTTTTCTATTACTTTACTAACAGTGCTTATTAGTGCAATTGGTCTATAGTTAGTTGTCATTTTCTTGTCGCCCCCTTTATAAAGGGGAGTAATTTGGGCTTCTTTAAGGACAGTTGGATACACTCCCGAACCAAAAATGACATTTATAATGTGCTCTAGGGGTCGCAGTAAATATTCATGATTATACTTTATCACCTCCGATGTGATGCCATCTTCTCCACAAGAGACACCACACTTAAGGTTTTTTATCTGCTCCAGAAGTTCATGGTCTCTGACTGGTGACAAAAAGAAAGATTCCGGATTACATACTCTTTGCTGGGACCCTGGCTCACAAGATGGTGGGTTGATTTTTTGACCAACATTGCTAAAGTATTTATTGAACTCATTTGCCATCAATTTCCTATCAGTGTCCTCAATATTTTGATCATTATAAATTGCACCTATATCTGATTTAACATTTGAGTCATTTGTGGCTTCTCTTATTATTTTCCAAATTTTTCTTGAGTATGTCGAGTTTTGATTCATTTTTGCTTTATAATAGTTATATTTAGATTTTTTAATTAGTTTAGATAAGTTAGTTCTGTATCGCCGGTAAGTATTTAATGTTTCAACATTATTTGGATTTAAAGTGCATATTTTTTTTAGTTTGTCTCTTTTACGTATGGAAATTAAGAGTCCACTTGTGATCCAGGGTTTCAGCCTTATTTGTTTATTGGTTACATGAGTCATAGTGCTACACATTTGTACATATTTCTGCATGAGATCAATGAATGCTTCTGTACATGAGTCAGCATCAGTACTCTCAAGCACATCCTTCCAACTTTCAACAGACAATTTTTGTTTTAAATTTCTAAAATTAATTTTTCGAAATACAGGTCTATTTTGAGAGGTTTCAGATCTACTAATTGTATTAAGCTTAATATTCAACAGGATGGGGTAGTGATCAGTGAAATCTCTCTTCAATATAACTGGATTTAGATTATCGTACATTGTATTGTTGCATTTTACAAAGCAATGGTCAATACATGTAGCACTCTGATGTTGTACACGAGTTGGTTTATTAATCATGCTCAAAAATCCATATGAGTTTAGCATAGTTATGTAGTTATTTACTGTTGGAGATGCTGTATCGAGTAAGTTGATATTTATATCCCCTATCAGAACATATATTTGCTTAGTATCGGATAAAGTAGTATCCAAAATGTTACCTAAATCATTCACAAAACCATCCATATCTGTTGCTGGTGATCTATAGAGTCCCAAAATGTTAATAAGATTATTGTTTTTGTATAGTGAAACATGTAGACATTTTAGATTGTTTGATTCTAGGATGCTGCAACTCTGGAAATATTGCTGTCTTACATATATCATACATCCATCAAACTGATTTATGGTGCTTTCATTCCAGAATACAGAGTATCCAGGAATGTTAAAATTATTTTTATCATGAACAATATGGGTTTCTGTCATAACTATGATATCAAACATCTTACCAGTAGACTCCAGAAATACTAAAAAATTATCAAAATTTTTATAAATGCTTCTCACATTTACATGGATTATATTAATGTCTCTGTTGTTATTGTCAAATGTGGTTAATTGAGACAAAGTATCACAAATAGTCGTTTCACGAGCCTTATACTCATCACAGACATTATTTAGATCTATGAATGTTAAATTTTTAGTTCTTTGACTCTTCTGTATTATAGTCTTAGTAGATATTTGTTTCTACAAACAAAGAAGAAGGTCTTTTTCACTCACTATTTTAATGGGTCGATCAACATCATTCTTTTTGATGTAAATGTGTCCATTCATACAATATGCTGCTTTGAAATTTTTTGATTGTTTCAGTTCCCTAGCCTTCTTGAATAGTGTGCGATTTTTGAGTGTGGGATCGTCATTGAAAAACAGTCTTTGATCGTTTCCCTCCAGGTCGCATTTCTTCACTGTAGTCCCCTTAATTTGTCCTATCCGTGTAAATAGTTGCTTCTTTATCTGGTAATTATCAAATTTCACCAAGATTGGTCCTTTGCCGCTTTTATTCAGTCTGAAACTCTCCTTTATATCACCATTTTTTAGGGGCACCTGCATCTTGTTCAAAATTTTTTCCACAGTTTGTTGTGTGTGAGGGTGACTTTGCTCTGGGACCCCCACAACAACAATGTTGTTCAGCTTATCTTTTTGCTCCATTTCCTCGAATTTGCTCTCTAGGAGTTCCACTCTTTGCTTTAGGTTGGTATTTTCATCCCGCAGGAGTTTAATTTCAGCAAGGGCTTCTTCAAAAGACTTTCTTTGTTCCTCAAAGGAGTCTGACATATATTGCACTGATTTTGTTATTTCCTGCATATCTCGTTCGATGCCTTTTTTAAAGGGCTCCAGCACTTCATTTAAACATTCTCTCACAACAGTTTTGAGATTGTTTTCATCCACTTTTGAGACTTTTTCATTCCCATTTTTCATTTCAGACTTTTTCATTCCCGGAATTTTTCGGCATGTTGACACTTCACATAACCTCACTAGTATATATGAATTAACAGATAAAGATATGTTGATGATGGTGTCAATATCATAAGATCGGCAAAGGCACTTTTCGCTCGTAATCCACACATGATTTTCTCTACAATCGCATTTTATGAAAAATAATTAAAAAAAAAAACTTCATTTCTGTAAAGTTTTAAATCGTAATAGGCATTT